AAAAAAAAAAAAAGGCAGGCACAGAATATAACATGAACTCCCAAGCCTTCAGTGCTGACTGGTACCACACAACTTAGCACACCACATTTCAAAAGAAAACAAGACACTCCCCTGAAAAGGGGGAGTCAGAACCGTGCCTGACTCATTCCGAACCCTGGAGATATTCTATGTGCTGCGACTACGATGTCACATTCTTTGCGAAGTGCTAGCAAACCCTGGACTACTTAGGGTTGTGTTTCGTGTGGAGCTGACATTTTGCTCTCTCAAAATTGCTGAATAGTTGGCTTTCAGGAGCCAAAAGGGCAGCAGGGAACATTGTTAGAGGTCATAAAGACAGGTCTAAATTCCACACAGCAAACCGAACAGAAAACTGAAAATAGCACATGTACGTGGGGGTTCAAACAATTCGGCCAGTGAGCTCCTCACTGCAGCCAGTTCACAGTTGGTGAGAAACCCCCCAAGTGCTCTGCATAGAGTTTTACACTTCTGCTTTATAAATAAAGATAAAAACTTTAGGATGGTAGAATTCTGAGGCCACATTTGAAAAATACTACAGAACCACACTCCATTGTTGAGTCTGGCTTCAAAAGTGACTTTTGTCTTTCATTTAGCACGGCACTCAGAGACCTCTGTTTTTTGAAATTTATTCCCAAGAAAGATAACCACCCCATTGCACTCAATTTCCTTTAGGAAGGAAACCTCTCTAGTGGCAGCATCTTGCGGCTCAACAGAGCAGAGCAGCACTGGAATTGCTCAGCCACAACCGAGGACTTTGTGACTTCAGGAGACATTCCGGAGAGTTTTACAACCTACGTGGAACCCTCAGGGGCTAGCGAATACAAACAGAGCAGGGAGTTTGTCCCTTTCTGTCAATGCGTTTCCAAGTGTTGATTTCAAGTGTGAAGACTGAGTCTGTGAGGGGTACAGACAATCTGGACCGCACGTATGACGGGCTCCCATGCCCACCTTGCCCAGTGCTGTGCCTGTGGCTGCAACAAGGGTCATGAGCACGACCAGCTGAGTAAGTTCAAGGCCCAGGAGGATGCAGGCTTCTTGTGAAGACACGGAACTGCAGGACAACTGTGATTATGTCTCTACTCAGACACGCAGGTATCTATTAGCTCCATGGTCCACGGTGGGAAAACCTATATTTATAGGGGTAGTTCCATGATCAGGTACTGACAACGCTCTCAGCTCCATGGAAATATACACTGTTTGTTGCAATTAAACACCTGCAAAAACTA